TGAGCCGATCCAGCCTGGGCACCTGGGCGCCAGCCCGAGCCGGCACCGCCCTCATCTCAGAGGCCCCATCACGTCCACACGAGACGCGACGAGCTGGCGCTTTATTTTTCTTAGGAACATGAATTTCCTGCTGGTGCGGGGGCGTAAAGTTACGCGGGAGGGTTTTCTCTCCAAATCGGTGAGTGACGCTCGCAGCACACAGGCGGCTACTCCCGGGTGGGTGGGGTTTTCTCTTTTTATCCTGGCCCCGGGATATTTTCCCACTGCTTTTTAGAGAGCGTGGGGGAGAGCGAGAGCGAGAGAAACACCCGTGGGAGAGAGACGCGTCCACGGGTTGCCTCCCGCACGCGCTCCGACCAGGGGCCGGGGACGGAACCTGCCACCCAGCTGCGTGCCCTTGACCGGAATCGAACCCGGGACCCTTCAGTCCACCACCGAGGCTCTAACCGCTGAGCCACACCGGCCACGGCTGTCCCCCTTCCCTTTTTCGAATCATCTCCGGATATAAGACACGTCGAGGAACCCTCGGGAGAGAGGAATTTTCGTGTTCGTTTCTGTTCTTTGCAGGCACCGGCCGTCCGGCCACGTTACTGTGTTTTCCCGTCTGGAGGTGCCGTTGGAACGGTCTTCCGTCCGCTTTGCTCCATACGCAGGGGCTGCACTTAGTAGGTGCTTCATCAATATCAACCAGGCGGGCGGATGGGCCCGTTAACGCCCTGGGGCTGCAGAGCCTCTAACTCCCCCCGTCAGGAACAGGCGCGCTGGGCTTTGAGCACCGTCCCGGGGGAGCCCTTGCCCATAAATCAATACTGTTTGCACAGACCCAGCGTGAGGCGCCTTCACATCTCGCTGGGCAGTGCGATACGTTTTGGATGCTGTATTTATTTTCTGCCAAGTAACAATAGGTCTGATGACAAATGCGTGGCCCCGAACTGCCGGGACATCGAGGAAGAAAACCGCCTGATTAATCAGGCCCCCGAAACACGCAGCCCCCTCCTTCCGGGGCGGGAGCCGGGGTGGG